GAAGAATTTGTGTGGACTTTGTGCAAGCATTTTATTTTGCTAATGAACTAAAATTGATCCCTGTAATTGAAAGATAATGATACTATTTGACTGTAATGACTGAACACCCAGTGAAATTCTGCACAAGTGAAATTCTACATAACTCTGGATATAGTGTGACTGCTTTATCTTAATTGTGACATCATATCTTATGGCCTCTCTAAATTGTTTAATTGCTAACGACAACAATTAGATGAAATGAGCAGTGGGAAGCATGCTGGACTGGGCATCTGCATAGTTGGGTTCAGAACTGCACTCTTTGCAAAACCTTGGGCAAGTCTCAGTCTGTGCGGGGCTGAGTTTCCGTTGCAGGCTTGGTGGATCAAGGTTATTTAAGGTCTCTTGCAGCTCTTCCATCTCTATGAATCTGAATCCCACCAAATTGATTTTTCATAGTCAGTGAAAAATCTGAACAAAGCTGAACTGTGAAATATTTGACAAGCATTAACAGGATTGAACATGTTTTAGACATTCAGTGTTCTGCAGGAGAAAAGAACAGTTAGGAGCTCCCCTCACCCTCCCTACCCTCCATCCTCCCCCTACGTAACTTGTATTTCTTTAAATTTGAAACACTGTGCAATTGACAGTCATCTGAAGCTGGTTTTGCACTTCTTGTGGTAAAGACTGATAGAGAATGCTCCGACCTGTAATTCCACAGCCTTTATTGTATTTTGTAAACTCCATAACGAATAGTGGTTGGGATAGAGGTCTGGAACAGCTTAGATGGGGTAGGGTCTGGACTATACCGGATTTAGGGTCAGGAATCTTACTGAGATTTCCCGCCCTCCCTCCTTGGGAGCAGGAAAAACAGAGAGACAGAGAAGCAGAATTGCCTGCAATGCCAGAGCACTTGCTTTATTAAATCTTCCCCAGAGAGGTTCATTACTGAGCTCTTAAATGCAGGATGTTCCTGTAAATGGCAGATAGGAACCTGCACTTTCTGCATTTGTAAGAAGCATATTTTGCTAATTTCTTATTAAAACCAAATTTACCAATAGACGCACACACAAAAGTATACTTTGTAGAATTTTGTGGGTGCATACAGAATATGAAATTGTGCCGACGATGCTCACTTATTAATAAGAATTCTTCCTCGAGACAAAACATGTTCATTTTTATTGTCTTTGTATTTCTAGAGTGTGTAAAATAATCATCTTAAAATACCAATGAGAAAATTTTAGAAACAGGTAAAACAGACTTGCTTAATATACCAGAAAATACCTCGCGTTAGTTTTACTCAGGGATAAAAATAGCATATGCGCATATATTTTGAAATGAAAAAGAGTAAATAAAAATGCAGTTACAGAGCAGATAACCAGAATTAATAGACTGTTATTTGCCTGCCTCAGTGTTCACAGGCGGTTAGCTCTTAGCCATTCATGTTTATATACTTTTTGCCAAATAGCCTCTGAGTGACAATATTTGATCATGCTTAATGATTTTTTAAAGGACAGAATTTATTTCTTTAAGAAAAAATTATTTTTAAAGAACAGAATTATTTCTTCAAGAAATAGGTATTCTGTTGTCCTGTAAAGAAGAATCATATTCTTAGAGTCTTTTGTTCTGGATAAACTAATCCCATATTTTCCATTCGACGACTCTTTTTTTTTATAATGATGATTGAAACACTAAATAATTCAGTTTCATTTAGATAGAAGAGAACTTTTGCTACGAGTCAAAAGTTTGAAGCCATTCAAGGGCTGTGGTAGGCAGGTCTCCTGTTATCCAAAGCTGATGAAGGAATGAGAAAGGGAGGTGGAAGATCTGGAGATGAGTTTATCATGGACAATAAGGGAAAATGAAGGTGAAGAGAAAGTGTTGTTTTAGCACATAGTAAGCCAAAGGACCCCTGGATGCACCTACAATTGTGACAAAACCTGTGTTAGTGTTTTGTTACTTGGTTAACTTAATCTGAAAATTAGGGCCAGTGGTAGAAAAGTAAGTGTAAGACTTAAAACACAGTGAAATCTGCTCAGAAATCATCTATATCAGAAAGTTATTTTAAAATGGGGGCCAGCGCCGTGGTGCACTAGGTTAATCCTCCACCTGTGGCACCGGCATCCCATATGGGCGCCGGTTCTAGTCCTGGTTGCTCCTCTTCCAGTCCAGCTCTCTGCTGTGGCCTGGGATAGCAGTGGAGGATGGCCCAAGTGCTTGGGCCCCTGCACTCGTGTGGGAGACCAGGAAGAAGCACCTGGCTCCTGGCTTCCGATTGGTGCACCTCCGGCCATTGCGGTCATTTGGGAAGTGAACCAATGGAAGGAAGACCTTTCTCTCTGTCTCTCTCTCACTGTCTGTAACTCTACCTGTCAAATAAATAAATAAAAAAAAGATAAAATTATTTTAAAATGAAAAATACTATTTTCCAGGAAAGTTTAGTGTATTAAATCATATGTTTTGAAAAAAACTTACTAAAGAACACTAGGAAAAAGAGTATTGTTTGAAAGGTACTTTTGATATTCAGAAAAATGCCATTTTATTTATGGGATGAATTGGAATCTAGCTTACTCCAGGAAATCAAACTTCTTGCAAATTTATGAGAGACAATTTTACTTTAAATTGAAAGGAAGAACACTGTAGCATCAAAGTTCATTTATATAAAAATAAAAATCTCTTGGGGTATAGTAACATTTTGTTTAATTTGGGTGTTGGTTAGGAGTGTGATCAAAGGGCCTCAAACTCATTTATCCATACACTGATGTGCATTTCTTAGTATATATACTGTATTTCAATAAAATGTTTAAAAATCTCTTTCACCAAAGTGACACTATTTGACAAACAAAGTTTTTAAGAAGTAAGGTTTTATTTTGATGGTTACTGCCATCCCAGGGATTCTGTAAATCAGGGAAACAGGAAGTGGGCAAGAGTCCTGAGGCACCTTGTTGATCCCTGTGCTTGTGGGATTAGGGATCAGCTCGTGCCTGGCTGAAGCTCCTCTTCTTCTCACACGGCCCCGTTCTTTGGAGCTTTGCTGCAAGTTCAGGTTCACTTAGAGAAGGGCTCTTTCTTTCTGGTTATCAGGACCTACATTTGTTCCAACTGTACAGACAACGATGAGTTGCACTTTGCTTCATTAGGTCTGTGAGTGCTATTTTACTTCAGAGACTGAAAAGAAAGCAAACTTCTGTGTCGGTCTACATATTGATAGCCAGTGGGGGAAGGGAGACAGCGAGGATCAGGTCACCATCCCTGTACTGGGCCTCTAACTAGATTCTGTGACAACTGGGAAAAGTTGAAGCTGAAAGAGTGTCTCAGGCTCAGTGCCCCCATAGCTCACCTGTCTATGACCGAGAAATGTGCTCTCCGCTTGAGCTTGCTTTGTTCATCAACAGAAAAGTTACTGGAGATGAGATCAGAGCTTTTCAGAAATCGGTGTAGAAGCCAATGCATGGAGCTGTGAGAAGTGCGAGTCCAGGCCCACCTCACACCTGACTCAGGAGCCCTAGGAGTGGGCCCGCAGGCTGTGTTCCAACAAGCCCTGCAGGTGGCTCTCTTGCACACCCAAGTTAGAGAGGGGAGGTTTGGAGAACAGGGTTCGTGTCTCAGTTCTGGCACTGTCTAGCCCTTAGCTCTTGTTACGTTTGCTGAGTTCCTCTGAGCCTCTGCTTCTCGCATCCATAAAATGAGAGATGATCAACAACGGCTCTTCCAGCTCTGACATTCTGTGAGGCTGGGATTCTAATTACTTGGTGCAAGGGAATTCATTAGGGACAAGCAGCGCCTCGGCATCCAGCTACAGTGATAAATCCGACGTTGCTCAGTTACATACCACGTCCACACGTTTAATGCACAGTGATCCTTCTCAATCCTCATTAGCTTCATGTCTTTTTCATAGCAGTCACTGGAAAATAAAATGAGCCTGCTCAATAACTCAAAACCAGTTCAATTGCACGTAAGTAGAATAGATTACAGCGGTCTTCCTTTTAATTGTTGAAGATGACATGAAGCATCAATGATATTACAAAATGTAATTTAAAAGTACACAGTGCTCACAGAAAGGCCTCCCTCTGAAATTCATCATAAACGGAATGCTGAGAAAGGACATAATTAAGTCTATAAGCAATAAAAGGATGCTGTCATCCCCTTTCACATGGTATCATTTATTTAAAGGGTAAGAGTCATAAAACACAATTTTTAAGAAGGATCTGATAAAGCATACTTGAGTAATCAAATCAAAGTTAGTTCCAATGGCCACAGGGTGAATCTTTTACTTTTGGATTTTCTATTCTCTTAAAAGAAGTTTTCAAATGGCGACCTGCATTTCAATTTACCTAGAGGTCTTTTACATGGTTTGGCAGACTTGAATATTTAGATTCTATAAACTAGAATGAACCTTGGGTATTGAGAAGTGTTGGTATTGACATAGTGTATATTTTGCTTATGTTAAAACTGCAGACAAAATTAACCTTCTTCATCCAATTACTGTACTAATCAGAGTAGAAATTTATGGCATACCAATTTTTAAAAGAAGGCACACCAGTGATAAATCCACTTGGAGTAACTTGAAATAATTGGACGGAAGATTCCTTGTGTTGAAGAGAAAAATATCCCACCCCACACTTTGAAGAGGGGTCTAATCTGATTTTCTTCATCTGGGTCTGTTCATCCTCTCATTCATCCGGGTTGAATACAATATACACTTGGTTGCTTTGTTTAAAAGGCTCTACATAAATGCTTGCCTTTCCCTTTATACAATAGATCGCCAGCAATTATGAGCTTGTTTATGAGGTTGTGGAAGTAAGAGGACTAAGGCAACTTTTTCTTATTTTGTTGCATATATTCTTGGCATATACAAATCAGGCAATTATTTTAACAAATAACACTGGGAAGTGAAGTCTTGGAGAAGCTTCATGCAAAATTATGTAAGACCAATTTTGATTGCGGCGACTACATTTTGTAGAAAGCCGTCAGCTATCCTTACTTATAAACAATGATTCCAAATTGTTTTCCTTCCGCTGTAGGTGGACACTGAAATTCTTTGCATCAAAACCTGTTAAAAATACGAAGTAGACAATAAATGGCCTAGTTTTCCTCTTGCACGGGAATGTCATTTTTCCAGAAGGGGGCGCTCTCAGCCCGCATGCCACAGAGCAAGGCCCATACTCTGGTATCTGATCTGCTGCTTGGAAATTGTCTGACAGGAAAATATCAACACAAACCATGCGATTTGCCGCTGGAGCACGCTGGACCTCATCTGCTTAAAGAGATGCATGGATATAGTCATCACAGTTCATAATTTAATAAACTGCTAAAAAAACCCACACGTTTTCATTTTAGCGACTTTGGTCTCACAACTAAATTCACATTGCTACAAAGACATTTGAATTTTGCACTAATATGTCATAAGCACTGCACCCATTGCAAATTAATGAGTCTCTGAATAGCACTGTGCATTTGTCATTTGAATTTATGCTAATGCAACGAGGTCTCCTGTGATGCTGATAGCCCACAGCAGCTGCTGGAGCCACAGATGAGACCAGCACTTGCCTTCCACTTTGCGTCACCACCTCTCCTCCTGGCTTTTCCAGCCTGTCACTTAGGCTGCAACCCTGTAGCTCGCTATTGATAGGACTGAGAATTATCTTTGACTTTGCCCTACTGGCCTGACCCCAACACTGAACACACGTAACAGATTGGTGTTGAGAGAATTACGTACATCACAAGGTGACAGCCCCAGACCAGGAGGTCACAAGGAGTTCACTGAGAACCAGTGGTATTTAAAAAGGATGTTGGCGTGGAAATTGGCAATATTTTCCAGTTCTCTGGTGTGACTTATATCAATAAGTGCATCTAAGAAAGTGACTGACTTTTGCCACGGTGGTGAACAGCACGTGTATGTGTGTGCAAATGTAGAAGAGGGTTCTCTCGGGGCTTTCCTCTCCTGTTCATGCTGAAATCTAATAAAACGGTGATGGCAAGCTTCTGGGGGTATCAGGTCATCTGGGTCTTCATCATGGTTGTTCACATTGCCTTTTGATCAAAGGGGTGTGGGGAGTCGACTAGCTCCGGTGGTAGGATGGTTGGTACAAGGGGCAAGTGTGTGGGAGGGACATGCACAGAGAACCATTTTTGTGTGTCATGAGTCAGTGACAAAAAGTTCCCCGTGTCTTTCCCTGGAAATGAAAACTTTTCTTAGGCTGGGGCTTCTATTTGACCTGCTTCTAGAACTAAGGATGAAGGCATGTTGAGTTTATTCTAATGGATTCAAGAAATTGGATTTGGGGTCTGGAGATGACACGGAAAAATGAAGCAGAAAATTCAAACGAAAACACAGAATTATCCATCTAGATCACACACTTTTTGAAAATTGCTTCTGATTTGAAGGAATGTTCTTTGCTTTGCTGGGGAACAAAGAGAAGCATACAAACTTTTTCTTTTGAATAATTTTTTAGGAGGGGATGAACAAACAAACATTCATTCTGGTTATGATGTAGCATTGTTAGCCTCCATTTCCAGAATTTAAATGAAGCCGACAAGGCAGACAGCTCCTGAATTATCTCCAAGACACTTTCTAAGGCCCGCAGGTGAGATTGTTCCCCAAGTGGCATCGAGACGTACACAGTGCAGAGGTGACAGTGACCTGTTTGTTTCAGAGACGGTGCCTGAGAACAGGAAGGCTCTTTTCTGAACCAGGAAACTCAGCTATGTCGGAAGAATTTCACCCAGACTCCACAGACCGGTAAGATGCTCAGTGCTCAGGCCCTGGGAGAGGCAACCCCTTCTGTCCGTGTCTACCTGTTGGCACTGCCTTAAGAGGGCCAGGGCCGCGCTGGAGGAAGAAACTCCACTGAGGAGCCAGTGGGTAGATTCTTTCTCTGCAGCTCCTCCGTTTTCCACCAAGGAGGGGAGACGTTTTCACTCTTCTTGGAAAAACTTTGAAATGTAAACTGTTTCGATTGATGGCTCCTTCTGGCCCTGGCAACTCTTTTTGGTAGCTGGTGCTCTTTCTGTAATACTTGTTAAAAACGTCTCTGTAGCAAAGATGTTGTTTTTTCTGTGATTTTTTTTTTTCAGTCGGTGCATGTGTGAGTACAGACAGGCTCTCATCTTGTGCGGCGCAGACTGGCAGGTGAACACCTACTCTTGCTGCCCTTCTTCATTTGCAGTACTTTATAAGATTAGTCTCTTTGAAAGCTGTTTTCAGTCTAAACTGTCAATCCTCTTCGAATGTGGTCCCTCTTGCTGGGGATGGCTTCTCAAAACCTGTGAGAATGCTATGGACTGGAAGACCCTTTCCTAACCAGCAGTCTCAGCCACGTGTCCCTGGTAACCTGCCCCACACCTTGGCAGTAGGGCAGACTGGGGACGGCTTTAAAGAAGCAGGTAAAAGAAGCCGAGTCCTCCTGCAATTAAAGCTGTCTTTAAAGTACATGCACAGCTTCCACTCCCACCTATGTCATTTTAATCAACTTGTCATCTATGACATGACTGTGTGTATGCGATTTTAAACACGTTTGGAACATTCTTAAGCCGCACGCACGTGGAAAGAGTTTAGGTGGTAAAACTGATCCATTTGCTTAAGCCAGTTGACGTAGAGAGCGCAATCCATCCATCTTCATCAACTGGAGTGAAAAAATGCTCACTTCACTCTAAACGGGCATTGCTCATGTGGACAGGATGGACTCTCAGTGGTGGAGTTCTCTTGATTCTGGGCTATTCTGAGTCAGTTTCATGAGTTACACGTTCTTATTCCTGGAAGACTTGTTCTTCTTTGTTTGTGTGCTTTGGATACGTTCTCCCGCTTGTCTACGCTTCGCTGCAAGGATTGTGCTTTCTTGAGTGCACCAGTGTTGGTAGCCCTCGGCCGACCCATTTCCAAGTGGAGCCAACGTCTCCACACTGAGTTCTGCCCGCTTGCCACCTGTGTATGCTACACAGACATAAATACATAAAGTGTAAAATTATAAATGTGTTGTTTTGTATTAATCTGAGAAGTAACTCTAGGTGATATTTGCCCTTAGAAACCTGCTTGTTTTTTGCTTATATGTCAGTACTGTCTTCTTTGGTTTTTAGCATGTAAAACACTCAAGTCAGAGGTAAACAATGGGATGTTTTGCAGTGCTGGTGCTTAGTTTACTTCTCATTACCCATTGACTCTTTTCTTCTCCCAGATCTTACAGGGACCTAACGGCTACAGCAAGACTCTGTCTCCATCACCATCTCCAATGCTTGGGCCAAGTCGAAACAAAATGAGACCACTGTGTAGACCCAGGTGGAAGTCCTGGGGTCACTGGGGGTGTTTCCATACAGATTTAGGACTTTGGTAAATCCCTGCCCTTGCAAAACTTACTTTCTTTATTCCAAGGGGATTAAGTCTACTGCAGAGAATCATAGTGATTCACTCTGAAGGAGACCTTAATTCTCTGATTTTAAAGCAAAGATCAATTTGTAAACAACTGGATGATAACTAAGTACCCTTCTAGAGTAAAAACTCTTTTTGTGCTTCCATATAATAATATCATAGAACCACAATTTTGATTAATTTGGGGTCCTAGAACCTAATGCACAGTTTAAAAATATCTTGAAGGTATCTAAACTGTTATGTGGTTTGAATCTGATTAAAAAATAGTGGGAAGCAAAAAATCAGCTCAACCCAGTAAGATTTTTATTTTAGGATCTAAAGGTACAGGTGATGACAACACAATAAGGGAGAAAAAGCTTGAGAGGGGCTACAGAGAGAATAAGAAATGTTTCAGGTAGTAGAAGCACGAAGGACAACCACTTGGATATAAATCTCTTCTCTCAAGGGCTACTTTGAATCTCTTGTATCGTCTTCCAAGTTCTTCAGCAAAGTTCTTATCACTCACCTTTTTGTATTTTTCTATGGCAGACACAGAGATGTAAAATTAAAAAGTCCCTTGAGTTCTAAAGGCATAGAGTAAGTATGCACCATTCTGATTATGTGTCTAAGGGGAGAGCCAAAGAGGCTTAAAAATCTTTGCATCGACAAGCCATTGATAAGAAAAACATCAGTGAAGTGAGGAAGTTTGAGATTTTCACCTTGTAGTATTATTTTAAGTTAGATAGTGTGATACCTCTAACTTTTTTGTTTTTTGCTCAGGATGATTTTTGCTATTTGAGGTCTTTCGTGGTTCCATAAAAACTTTAGTAGTATTTCTTTCTATTTATGTAATAAAGTTATTTGTGAGTATTTTGGTAGGGATTACATTAATATGTGTCTTCTTCAATTTCTTCCATCAATTTTTCATAATTTTGTAAGAGATCTTTCGCCTCCTTGACTAAATTCAATTCTAATTTTTTATAGCTGTTACAAATGAAATTGATTTCTTGATTTCTTCAGATAGTTTGCTGTTTGTCTTTTTAGAAATATTACTGATTTTTGCATGCTGCTTTTGTATTTTCCAATAGTACTGAATTAGCTTATTAGTTTTGACAGTTTTTTGGTGGAGTCTTCATGGTTTTCCACATATGAGATCATGTCATCTGCAAACAGGGACAATTTACCTTCTTCCAGTCTAAATTGAATGCCTTTATATTTTTTTCTTGCCTAATTGTGCCAGCTGGAATTTCCAGTACTGTGCATGTGAACGTATTTGCCTTATTCCAGAACTTAGAAGAAAAACTTTCAACTTTTCCCCATTCGATGTGTTGTCAGCTGTGTTTGTCATAAATAGCTTTTATTGCATTGAGATACATACTTTTTTGAGAATTTTTACCATGAAGGCTTGATTAATTTTGTGAAATGCCTTTAATGCATCTGTTGAAATTATTCTGTGTTTTTTATCCTTCACTCTGTTAATGGTATGCATCATTTTTATTGATTTATGTATGTTGAACCATCCTTGCATCCTGGGATGGATCCCACTTGATCTTGGTGACTAATCTTTTTAGTGTTCTTTTGAATTTGGTTTGCTAAATATTTTATTGAGGATTTTTTTCATCTATGTTCATCCGTGATATTGGCTTGTCGTTTTCTAGTTTTTAAATCATGACCTTATCTGGTTTTGGTATTAAAAATGCAAAATATCAATGAAATGAGCTGCATTTTTGGAAAGATAAAATTGGCAAACCTTTATCTGGGGCAAGAGGAAAAGAGAGACATTTAAAAATCATTTACAAGAAAGGCACATATTAAAATTCTAAGAATGTTATTTGAACACTATCTGCATTATGTAATGATGAGGCATTTGTGGGGCCTGACCCAATGCATGGGGGGACATAGAAAAATATTGGACATATCCTTTTCTGATGAATAACAGTGTTATAAGTGAACTAAAGCCCTGTTAGGGAACACAAATGATTTTGAAAATTCATCCCTCACCCTTAAGTTTTGGCGAGGTGACCGGCAAACCTCAAATTCACAGCCCTTTTGGAACCCAGAGGAGCACACAGTCCTATTCCTTCCTCTCTTCAGGTTCTCTGTAGAAATCAATCTAAGAGCTTTGTCACAGCAGGACGGGAATGTAGGAAGTGCTTGCCAAGTGATTTATTTTGCTAACATATGATAATCAGTTTAGTGGGACTTGGTAGCTTAAAAAAAAACACAAACAATTTAAAAAGATACCTACATTTCTGTATCTTTCAAAAAATAAGACTTCAGAAATCTTATCCGGTTATAGACTCCAGAGAAAATTCTTCTTCCTCCTCTCACTCCCCAATTTAAATCAACTAATTAAGAGACTGTAACTAGAAGGGAATGATTAACTCATTAACGTAATCATTGTCATACTTGTGAATATGGACTCACATCAGAGTTAAGAGGTTAATGAATTCAGATATGTTTGTCAAAACTGCCTGTGGTTTTCAAAGAGGAGGATTTTGTGTTCTATAGTTTATATGCTTAGGAGGAAGGACTCAGTGGTGATAATGGTTGACATCAAAATAAGGCACTGAAGCTGTTCAGCAAGTGGTGGGCAGTAGACAAGAACTTCTCTTTATCCAGTGTTGTCAACATCACCGGCTTCAACATCATGTCAGTACTATTGTTATCTCCAGATGGATTTCTCTGTTTCATTTCGTTAGCTGAGAATGGCCTTCCTTGGGCACAGGCTGTCCATATAAGGGGATTGCTCCAGAACTTAGTCTTTTGGTCATCTTTCTCTCTTACTATGAATGGCTTATTTATTATTTGCAATTTTTCCTGTTATATGTTAAAAACTTCTAGAAAGTGTGTCTCCCACCAGCTCTCTCTCAGCGTATTACACCTCCTGTTATCTGTCAGGCCAGCAGGCATCATGCTGGGTGTAGTTGTCAACAGAACACCCATGGCACTGGTCCTGGCGGCTCTTATGACCAAGGGTGATGCAGTCAGTAAATAATACAAATAAATATCTATGTGTGGATTGTGATTAGTACTTAGTAAAGCACAGGTGATATGAGAGATGAACCACCTCTCACGAGGGGGTCTTGCTTGGATCGTGGGGCTTCTCTACAGACGCAGCAGTTACATGGGAACCTGAAGAATGGGAGAGAAGAATTCCAGACAAAGACACACAGGTGTCCTGAGACAGGAAAGAGCTTGGCAGTCTGAAGAAACAGGAAGCAAGCGGGACAATGAGAGAGAGAAAGAGTCTGGAGAGGAACACACGAGGAAACTGTGAGACTTTGCTGGCCATCGGGATCTTCTTCTTCTTCTTTTAAAATATTTATTTATTTATTTGAAATAGTTACACACACACACACACAAACACACAGGTCTTCCATCCACTGGTTCAGTCC